CGATAAGGGACAGTTCTAAATATTCTATTGTTAGAACCTTTACATTATTTTATTATTTGATATCGGTTATATTTAAGTCATTTATTTTTTTGATTTGGCTTAATAAATTAATATAACATACTGATAAATGTCATATATCATTAGTGCTGTTAAGGGAGTGCTCTTAAGCACATTTACAATAAAAACTGAATAAATATTCCTCACTGCTCTCTGTATAACACTGGATGGCGTTTGGTATGTGCAGCCATTTTTATTGATACAATAAAATATGCACTGCCTTTCACTACATAGACAGTAAGCACAAACTGATTTGTATATTATTTGAATACTTCCGATGCGTAGACACAACTCGAAACAGCATAAGTACATCAACAGTAGAACGCCGCATATTAGCATATTTTACTGTATCAAACAAAGATGGCTTCAATTCGGCATAAAAATTCCTTTGAATACGCCATCCAGTGTTATATGGAGGGGTAAAAACCACAGTAGTGTAAGTCAAATTTTTTAAAATATTTTACTTACACCACTGTGGTTTTTACCCCTTTATATAGAGATATATTTATATAGTGATATATTTATATAGATATATTTATATAGTAATGATGAAGAAAATTAAGAAAAGGAAGGCTAAAAAGAAGTCAAAAAGATGAAGAAGGGGGTAGAGAAGAGGAAAGGCGAGAAGGAGGAGAAAGGAGAGGAGAAGGAACGAGGAAGGGAAAATGAGAAGGAGATGGAAAGACAGGAGAGAGAGCTGTGAAAGAGGATAGAAAAAAGAGCAGAGGAAGAAAGGAGAAAGAGAGAGTGGAAAGGGAAAAGAAAGAGGAATATAATATGGAGAGAGATCGTTGCAGAGAAATCAAATGAGAGGAGGAAGATAATGAAGATGATAATAAAGAGGGAGCTGAGGAGAAGGGTAAAAATGAGGGGGAAGTAGAAAAGATAGGGGAAGGAAAAAAAGGTGCTACTGGTAAAGCTGAAAAAAGAAGAGGAATAAAAAGAAGCTGATAGAAGAGAGACTTATCTGTAGTATCTGTTGAATTCGCTGAAGTTCTTTACCTCGTTATTGCAGCATCGCCTGGAACTCCACCTTGCTTCGTGTCTGGTCCTCGCGTAACTGATGCAAGACTGGCGCGGCGGCGGCGTCTCCGACCGAGGGTCGATAGCTCACGCTATCCCGGATTCCCGGACGAGCCCCTCAAAATGTTGCGTCTATTGATCGTGGACTGCGCAATGTGTCTAAATGTGTCTCTGCACATCCTGGATATCCTCTTTCCGAATGGAAACTCCTGGAAATCCAGCTACCATCTCATTCTACCATTCTCAACTCACCTTTTTATCTCATTCTACCATCCCCCACATAGTGGAGGCCTCGATTTATATACATTTGTATAGAGTATTGACGTCTCTTTCAATGGCCGAGACCATTTTCAATAGAATATCAATAAATGTAAATGCTTGACCAATAAAAAAAATCAGTAAAAAATCTGTCGTGATCAGATTCCTATTAAAAGGTTTATAATAACATAACAATGGCTGCGTTCAGCCGATACTCCGCTAGCCTAGCAATTGTGAGCAGTCACTCGTTTCTTCTCCTTTTAATCCATTGGGTCAAAGGAGAGGAAACGAGCGAAAACGAGCGACTGCTCACGTTTGCTAGGCTAGCGGAGTATCGGCTGAACGCAGTCAATGCCGCCAGATATTAACTTATAAAATGGAATGAGAGTTATGTGAAAAACGCCCAAAAGCGATGTTTCTTGTTATTAACGCCCAATTTGCAATAATTGCAATGGTTTTTGTTTCTTTCTCTTATATATATGTATCTTTGAATATGTATATCTAGGCATACGTACGAGGCTTCAGAAGGCACAATTTATAAGTTCCGCCTCTAAAGAAAATACAGATGCGGCGTATCGCTTCAATACGTTTTTCACGTGCGTTCGTGGAGTTCTAGGACGAGTGACATGTCGTGAAATCATTTATTGCATTTTTGGAATTACAGAACGCTACGTTTACAGAACGCTGTTTTTTGAAAGAACTAACCTAACTAAAGAAATCTGGAGTTAGACGTTCGTATCCCTGGCGGAAAAAATTTCTATGAATAACTACAAAATTTGACTAAAAATAGAAATTTGTACATAATGAACATTTTTGTTGAAATATTTAATTTTTTGTAGAAATAGTTATATTTTTGTAGAAATATCTACGAAATAGTACCACAGATTACAATGTTCTCAAATCAAGAAACTATTGCAAGTAGTATATTTTATGAAAAACTACAATTTTATAAAAAATAGTACAAAGATCTACAAATTTTAAAAATTTAAGAAGAAACAAAATCTTAAAAAATTAAAACATCTGCTTACTTGTAGAATACTACAATTATTTATAAATGATTAAGAAATCTACTACAATTTACGTATCGTAAAACTATGCAACTTAGAATCTAATTCAGTTTTTAGTTTCTCATAAAATACTACAACTGCGTATAAATACTAACAAATACCGATTTGTTTGTACAGCTCAAAAATTTATTACAATTATGGCTAATTAAAATTTGTAATTTTTAGTTAAATGTTACAAGTTTTTACACAAATCTTCCAAAATTCATCTATTATTAATAACTTCTTAATTCGCAGAAGTCAAAATACTTATGTTTTTATTTTCGTATAGTCTGTTGTAAAGTCCAATAGAACAATACATAAATGTACAATTTTTTACTTATATAAATTTCTGATTCGTGAATGGTTGTAATTTTTCACACAATACTACAAGGTTCTACAGAAAACGACAAAATCCTTAAGCCTCTTACAACTCGTGAATTCATGAAAATTTACATAAATTTGTTTTTTTTTAGATGTTTATAAGATACTACAATTTTATATGGAAATTAACAGACCTTCAACCAAACCTTTCCATGGAAAATTGTAGTATCTTATAAAAATCTAAAAAAGCGAATACATATGTAGGTTTTTTTTTAATAACCGCAATATTAATCGGATGGCAAAGTTAATCAAAAATAGCGGATATTAAAAATAAAAATAATAGAATTTTTACTTTTGACATCCGGCCGCTATATGGCTCCGACATTTTTAATTTATCAACTGAATTTAACATCAGATTAATATTTAGCAACCTGAAAAACTCAAGTTTGAATAACAAAAAAATTTCATAATTTCTTAATTAATGATTTATGTAATTCGCAACTTTGATGCAATAATAGACTTTATGTTAATCATCAATATCTTTTTAACAATTGACATAACAAATTTCTTTTAAGAGCTGAAAGTCCTAACAATTAACATACTTAATTTTGATTGCAATATAACTTCTCTAACACGTCACGCGGAGTTCTCGGCTTAGAGATCAGTGCTCTGATTCTATAACTATTAACAACAATTCGTTACCATTATATTGTCGTTGCGCATATTTTTTATCATATATTATATCTGCACAACGATAATATAACGATGATAACGAAACTACTGTAGTTATAAGAGTTACAGAATACAGCCTTAACGACGCGACTTATCGACTGTTAGCGACTTCGTCCGAAAATGACCTGCTTTATCTTAAGAACGTAGTTACTGCATTGGCCGGCCATTGGAAATGCTGGTCTCAAACCCGGACCTTTGGTTATCTGTCTATTAATCTGTGATATCACATAAAAAATTGTTCGTCATTTTTTACTGTCCCACATTACAATTTACATTCAACATTAAAACATGTAAGGATACGTAAGAAGTTACCCATAATTATAAACATAGTAATATTACTATACACACAATAATCGTTAATATATTTCTTTTCTTTAATAAGGAATACTCATGCTAAATTAATTTGAATTATAGTATACTTATATAGTGTATAGTAATTATATACTATACTTTAATTTAATTTACATCATGATTAAAAAAATTCTTAATAATTGTATTTTCTTATAAATGTACTATATAAACTATCTATGGTATATTATCCACTTAAAATTATGAGAAATATTTTTTTGAACGAAATTAAGGGGATATTCTGGTTTGAAAAGTAGTACAAAAAGATATTTCTGAAGAATTGTTTGTATTAATTAAGGAAACAAAAAAAGTGAATAACACTGCATGTTTTTTAGCCTTATTTATAATATAAGAATAGAGGAAAGTCCCCTGTTATGTGTGTGAGATACCACATCTATTTTGTGTGATGATCGGAAGCCTATATGGGCAGAATTGAAAAATGTAGTAGGTCATTTTGAAGGGAATTTAATAAGCTTTAAGATCCTGATATGTAAAATCTAATTTAAATATTAATTTTTCTGAAAATTAGAAAAATGTAAAAAATGAGCTTCATGCAAAATCGAAAAAGTGTACTTCTAATATAAGATACCTCGAGAAATCGCTAATAAAGTGCAAATACATCGGTATTTTGTGCAGAATAGAAATATTGGTTCGTGTTCTAGTTCAGGTAGCCACACTTTTCCCGAATAAAAAAAATTTTTGGTGGTTGCGTTTCAAATATCCATCATTTATTAGACCTTCTAGTGACCAGAATGTAAAAGAAAAGCATTGTTGTTACTTAAAAAATAAAAATCTATTTTTAGAATATGGCTCAAAGAACATGCAAAGTTTAGCGTTATTCGCTTTTTAACACTTTAATTATATTCTACATCTTGCAAAATTTAATTTGTATTGAGAGACGTTGGAGCTTAAACACGAGCCGTAATTTGAAAACAACAGATTATCAATTCTTGAAATTTAATTTTCAGTCTTAGATTTTGCCTGCGATTCACACCCTATAAGCGCATAAAATTCCTAGAATATTATATGAATATTAATATTAATATTTAATATCAATTTGCGCCTTATACTTTTAGATTTTTAACTTAACAAATATTCATTATTATTCCAATTTATGTGTACATAACAGTATCACATAATTCAGTAACTTCATAATACGATATGATAAGCTATTTATAATCAGGGCAATATTTGTGCGTTATTAAATAGAATTTTTACTTATTTTATTTAGCAACGAATATTACGGAGGGCTGTGGGCTACATTTAATTTCGACGGCCTGCAAAAGTGGATAGAAGATTTAAAAACGGTTAAAAGTAATACTAGAAATACAAATGTCGATTTGAAGGGGGACGAAAAATTTTTGAAAGCTAGTGACCAGTACTTATTCCACAGTCGAGAACATCGGAGAAATCTGGTATATTTCCAAGTAAGAAATGATCTGCATAAATTAACCGTTCAACGATTTTAGATGGTATCTCGTATATTCTGACTAGTTTCCTTTTTCATGCAGCGATGCGGACCTACCTGACGTCTCTTCGAAGGACACCCAGACCGAGAGTTCTGGAGATAGTGCCGCAGTCGATGGCGCGGAAAAGACTGATCCTGATAAGGCTGACAGAAAGGAGAATGTGAAACAGTGAAGCATAGACCGTATCAAGAAAAAGTATAGAAGATTTAATATCGATATGGCGCCTAAAGTAAGATTACAGATATTTGTAGATACGCGCATTAATTTTCTTAATGTGCATATGTACATGACACGTGATTCTTATTGCAGTTATTATTCCCCCGCGGTGAATTAGTGGAACTGTTGATTTCTAGCAACATTGCGCGTTATGCTGAATTCCGTGCGGTCTCTAGGGTTGCCACTTTTATGGACGGTAAACTTACCCAAGTTCCTTGTTCTCGAGCCGATGTGTTCGCTAACAAAACGGTTAGCGTGATCGAGAAGAGAATGTTGATGCACCTTCTGACATCTTGCATGGAATAGGGTGCCGATAGTCCAGAATTTGATGGTGGGTGTCACATTACGTAAACGCGTTACGTGTGAGCATGTATTTTTTTTAATTATTTAATTCCTGACTTAATAATAATGTGTCCCGTTTACGTCTCTAGGTTTCCGTGATAAAACGTTCTTAGAATATCTTAATACGAAAAATCTTACGCCT